CACACACACACACACACACACACACACACACACACACACACACACACACACACACACACACTCCCAGAGCCAGACACATGTGCACACACAGATGCACAGAACCAAACAGAGGCAGACAAATGCATAGAACCAGATGTGCATGCACATGGAGCCGGGCTGCTAGGCCACTGGACAAAGTCTGACTGGACAATGCCCTGGGCCTGCTGTGGCCCCTATGCTTCCCTATGCGATTATTAGCTGAGGTGGTTACAAAGGAGCCAGCCCCCGGGCTACAGCATGGCCTACTGAGGCCCCAGCCCAGAGCCCACCCATCAGTCAGCTGCAGCAGCAATACTAGGGAGGCTTTGGGGAAGTTATACCCATTTGCCTTAGCCTTCCTCTCGCTACCCCTCCTAACATTGCCACCACCCACCCACCCCACACAGCTAAGCCCACAAAGGTGTAGTGCTCCTGGCAGGGGCAGCATTAGCCTCAGCCTGGTAGGGGGTCTGGGCTGGGGCTGGGCTCGGAGTGGGTGGGAGTTGGGCGGGCTCAGCTGTGTGGGGTGTGCAGGCAGCAGTGGCAGTGCTGGGAGGGGTGGAGCCTCTTGGCCCAGCCCCACCACTGAGAGGCAGCTGGCGCCGCCCTTGCTCTGGAGGCCTGGCATCAGCTCCACATTGCTGGGTGCATGCGTGCCTCAGAGCAGACGGTGCAGGAGGGGCAATCATGGCCTCTCCCCTGCTGTCCTCTGAGGCTGCACAGAGTTGACGATGGGACTCCAGAGCCCAGTCCAGCTGTATGTAGCCAGCCTGGGCTCTGGGCAGCTGAAGCAGGCAGCAGGTAGGCTGCAAACAGCTGCACTAGGCTCTAGAGCCCCGGCATCAGCTTGATGCTGGCGGCGACTGCACACACACCTGAAAGTGGACAGTGGGGGAGGGTTGTGCTGCCTCAGGCCCTATCCCCACTGTCCGCTCCAAGGTGCACGTGCACTTGCCAGAAGTACGAAGCTGATGCCAGAGCTCCAGAACCAGGAGCAGCTGTTTGCATTCTCCTGGCTGCAGCTGGCCCAGGCTCTGGGCAGCTGCTGCCAGCCACAGAGCCTGGGCTGCTTACAGCAGGGCTTCATGACTGGCAGCAGCTGCCTAGAGCCTGAGCTGGTGGTGGCATGCCGAGCAAAATGGACTCCTGTGTCATGCTTGCCACATGTGCCGGGGTTGCTGACCCCTGATCTAACCTATTCTTAAAACTGCACAAATAACCCTGTTGCACAACTACCTGCCATAGGTGAAACAGAGGGATAGGGCACTGTCAATATCCTACTGCTGCAAGGTGGTTGTTAAAATACACTTGAGAGATCCAAGGAAAAGGACCATGCCCCTTGCTACAGAAGTAGGCAAAGCCTCCCAAAGTCCATATCAGTCTGACTGTGGGGGGGAAGGCAAAATCCCCTACAGTCCATGCCAGTCTGACCATGGGGTAAAATTCCTTCTTGATCCCAAACGTGATGACCTGTCTGACCCTGAGATTAGGGACAAGATCCTGTAACCAGGAACCTCTTGGTTTTTTTAGTCCTAGCAGGACTGGCATACCCTAGTTGAAATGTCCAGCTTTGGCTGTAGCCAACACCCAATGCTTTTGAGTAAGTGAGTCCAAATACCCATAGCAACAGGAGGGGAAAAAAATTCTTCCCAGACCTGTGTGGCAACAATCAAAATCCAGAAACATGGGAACTACCAAACTTCCTCCACTCTGCTGTGCAGCCAGAGGGCTGGAAATGCAATACTACATATCACACATCCTAGCTGGAGAGCCAGAACTCCTATCTCCTCCGTAAACGTATCCCAGTTTCTTTAATATTTTTTGTGACTATAAGTCAAGAGAATTACTGAAGGTCTTCCTTTTTGCCTTTTCTGCCCCTTTTCCAATCTATTCCAATGAGTTTGTAAATATTGGCCAGGGCTCCAAAATCCCCTCTTTTAGTTCCTTCAGTACCCTGGGAAGAAATTCCTTTCAGTTTTTGAAATTTTAACTTAAAATATCCCAAGCAATTCCACTTCACATATCTGCAGTTTATAGTTTATT